GCTCAGTTGGGATGTTTATGGGTGAATAAACAGCAAGGAACTTTCTTTTTACAGTAAATATGTTCAAATAACTTCCAGTTGCTGCGGCCAGAGCTTGTTGCACATCATTCAGAACCGAAACAAGCTTTTCATTACATTTTAAAAGCGAGGTGAGGGCGGGGAGCACTCAAGACCTATAAAGGCAAGTACAGTGAAAGGGTTCAGATCCTGATGCCAGGGTTCAGAAAATGACTCACTGACCAGAGTTCCTTCTTTGTGGCTAACCCGGCACCATGTGCCCTGTGGGGTGAGTCACCGAGAACAGTGGGCTACAGTCAGCTCTAGGTTATCGACGTTGGTGCAAAACAGCCAGTCCCGGGCTGTGGTAAACCTAAGCAATTCGATCTGGAATGCATTTTATATGTGCGCACGTGTATTTTTTTTTCTTGGCAGGAGACTTACCTTCCTAATTATGTTCCCCTTAGGCTATTATTAAAATTAGTCCGCATTCCCCAAGCACACACCACTGACGGCAGGGGGAAGGCAGCCCAGAAGTGACGGGGTAAGGTCGGCCTGGGATGAAGTGTGTGAAAACACACAAACGTGTGTGGCAGTGCGTAGGTGTGCGTGCGCGCGCACAGGACTTCAGCTGTGCCGTGGGAAACACAGCCCACGGAGTGGCGAGGCGGTTGCTGCAAAACTTCCCCAGACACCAGAGAACAAAACCGTAAAACCCTTGCGAAAAGCGTCCTGGGTATCACACACGCACTTGCTCACTCTTTAACCATCCGGTCACCTCTCACCGGGCAGGATGGAGGCACGGAAGCCTTTTACCTTTCCAACAATTCTGTGCTTTATGTTTTCAGGATTCCTCGCCTATTTTTAAGAACCATCGAAAGTAGAGTAAAATGTGCATTTAATGCCACGTGTGGACACTCATGCTGAGACACGGGAGTCCTGGAGATTTTACGGACTAATGCTCAAGTACAGGGTCTCCAAACATTGACGGATACAAGTTCAACGTGACATGAAAACTGAACTTTCACCAGCATCTGCACATTCTAATGACTCCTTGGCCATTGGACAACTTATGGGGTGACTGAGACAACCCAGGAATGCATTTCCCTAATAACTCTCCTCTCCATCCTGTTTGATGGCGGCAGCTGCTTCTTCAAGGCCTCTGGGCTTGCACGCAAACTTTAAGAGTACGGAATTCTAGGGGCGCCTGGGTGGCTCAGTTGGTGAAGTCTCTGACTCTTGGTTTCAGCTCAGGTCATGATCTTAGTTTGTGGGTTCGAGCGCCACATCTGGCTCCACGCTGAGGGTGCAGAGCCTGCCTGAGAGTCTCTCCCTCTCCCTCTGCCCCACCCATGCTGTCTCAAAAATAAACTTAAAAAATAAAAATTAAAAATTATTAAAAAGTACAGTATCCTCAGAGTAGGAATCATTTCCAGGGTACATTTCCTTTGAACCATTCTTAAACATCAACAGCGATGTTCAGGTATTGGGAACGAGCTTAACGTGAACAGCCATCGCCCTAGTGATGCACTCAGGAACGACAGCGCTGTAATGCCTAACTGGTCCTCACTCAATTCGACATTCGTTTCTGGGGGGGGGGGGGGGGGGGGGGGAATCACATAAATGCAACTGGGCCAAAACACAGTCAACATCCCAAAAGGGGTACCACTGAGAAGCGATGCCTTTAGAATAGGAATCTGTATCTTTAGGGATCTCTCCTCTCAAAGGTAAATTAACTAAAAAACATAGGACATTATATTGTACTTTCCATGTAAAAAAAAAAAAAAGGAGGGAAAAACCTCTATTGCATATTTGCTTGCATAGGACAAAACTTTGGAAGAAGATATATTTCTAAACCACCTGATAAGTTTAGAGTGTGGGGTAACTGGACAGATTGGATTCAGGAACACAAGGGAAACTTCCCCTGTATACCTTTATGTAGGTTTTGGTTTTTAAACACTGTCAAGGTATTACCTAATGAAAAGCTAAATTAGATAAGTGAATATTCAGTGGATTTGCCTTATGGATGGCCTGGAATTCCGAGATTTCCGCATGTTATCTCCCTGATATTTTTCACCTCCGTAAGGACTTCCAGAAGAAACCTGGAGGGGGACGCCTGGGTGGCTCAGTCGGTTGAGCGTCCGACTTAGGCTCAGGTCATGATCTCACAGTTTGTGAGTTTGAGCCCCGCGTCGGGCTCTGTGCTGGCAGCTAGCTCAGAGCCTGGAGCCTGCTTTGGGTTCTGGGTCTCCCTCTCTCTCTGACCCTTTCCTGCTCACACTGTCTCTCTCAGAAATAAATAAAACATTAAAAAAACTAAAAAAAAAAAAAAAAAAGAAAGTCACTGGAGGAGGTTAAAAGTAGAAACTGAACTTGTACAATAAAGTGTATCCCAGGATACAGAGCTACCTTCCCCCACGAAGTGCGGAGTTGGAAAAAAATGTTCCCAGTGCTTTTTCCCCCAATTTCCAAAAAGATAGCAAGTTGTATTTGGTAGGCTGGCATTTGCTCGAGGGTGAGAAAGCACAGGCGTAGGCATCCTGTAGCAGATCCAGTTAGGAACTTACTAGCTCCATTAGCTCTGCAAGTGCCGGATTGTGTGTGGCATCACCTACATCTATTTTTACGCTGGTTCTAGAATCACAAATGACAAATTCCACTTCATGTAAACTGTTCGGTTTCTAACACCGAGGGAGGAAAGTTCTAACATGCATGTCAATTCTCTGTCTTTTATCAAATAATAGGTGCTGATTACAGACGCTTTTTTGAAATAAAATGTAAATCTAAGAGTCGTTAAAATGCTTTTTTCTTAAGGTACAGAGTGGTGAAGTGTTGGGAAAGAAAAATAATTCCCAAATGACTCTGTAAAACACAAAGTCACATGCTATTAACTGAGACTCTGGAAAAGTCAGGTCTACTAACAAAGCTTTTATTCTACCTCATACTCTGAACTCTTAAGATTTTAAAATATTCAACTTGCCTTTATTCTTTTTTTTTGGGGGGGGGGAGTAGGGTGCAACAGTGAGCTTGCCAGCTGGTCAGAAGCCAAGAGTTATCCAGTCAGATCTGAATGGAAAAATCTATGATTTGTTTATTCCATAGTTCAAGTTCAAAAGCAAGAGACAATTTAAATAATAAAAGGGTAACAGGGAAAAATGCAAAGAAAAAAAAAAACAAAAAACAAATCAGTGAGAGTCCAGAAGAACCTTCAAGAATATTTAATTCGGAAAATGTTATTGGTGTAGAGAACTTGACTGAAAGAAAACAGCTGGGCAGAGTTCAAGATTTTAAATTAAAAACAATCTAACAAGGTCTACGGGGATAACTCTTTGAGCCACATTTTGGAGACCAGATTCATTTCTACCAAGTAAAAGTAATAGCCGTCTAAGCTAAAAAGGAAATTCCTCACAACTGAGGTAGTTACTAAGTATCAGCACATTTTCCAAGTTCTCACAAGGCGGCTGATCTATTTACAATCCATTTTCCTCATACATAAATGGAGCACCTTTTCAACTTTGTCTTCTGTGATTTGTTTTAGGAAAAAAAACAACACTTATACACACCAGCCAGAATATGCCTATTTTATTAACATCATGCTTTAATAAATAACTGGCTACTTCTAATAAAATTAAGCCTCTGTTTACAACAGCCCCCAATATTCCATTTGACCATTCTGCAGAATTTGGTGTAAAAAGTTGAATGAAATGTAGACCCTGAGCTATCAAGTAATTATGTTTCAATACAAAAATAGAGAATTCCTCTTACAACTGAAGATTGAACAGGAACACAAACCTCCTCTCTGTGGGTTTTAGCTTCTGTGGAATTGATTGGCATCTTAATGGCTGTCTAGAGCAGGAAGAGACTTGCAGAACTTTCTGACGACTTTCGGGAACTCCTTCTGACAGTGACTTGTTACATTCTCATAGTTTTGTGAGCTGTCATTTGGTAAGGACGCAAGCAACAGATCCCTAAGGGGCCACGGCAGTTGGTAGTCTTTGGCCTGGGACAGCAGATGTGGCCTTTGCCAGTCCACCCCCCTGGTCACGGGTCACCCCTAAGATACCATCTTCTCAGATCTATTGCCTCCCTCCTGCCCCCCCCCCCCCCCCGCCCGCAAAACAACATCACATGAAAAGATTCCGGACACCGAGATCCCCACCCTGCTGGCGGACTTCTTGGTGACAGGGTAGCAAAGATCTGCGAACCACTGCCAATCCTCTGTCCTTCTCATCAGAGAGACCTGGGCAAGAAGACTCAAGCAGGACACGTTTTACACAACTCGGAATCCAAAACCAAATGCAAATGCACAGACACAAACTTTCTGAGTGTGGCCAGCTATCCCACGAGCCCAGGCCACACCCGGGTCCTGGCTAGCCCCCAGACAGCTCCCTCCGCTATTTGGTTGGGTATGAAATCCGGTACACCGTAACAAGGGGGCCCAAATCAGCTTGTCAGTCACTTATTTCTACCATCGGGACATCAGTTCAAAGCAGGTCAGCGTGGACATGAAGACCAGCACACAGCGGCTTGCTAATCTCGCCTGGATACAACACAAAAAGACAAAAACCCACCCCCGAACTACGTGTGAAAGTGTGGTGACTGGGACATCTGGAATGCCTTCTATATCTCTAGGGAGAGTGTATTCAAAAGAATCTTCTTCTAACCGGGCTACACTTTAAGTATAAACGAGTTCAAGAAAAGGACCTGTCTGTGGTCTTCGTTTCCGTAATTCAATGCAACCAAGACGGGCATAGTCTGCAGTCTCTTCCGGTCCCTGGCCATCAGTGAAGCATAGCCGCCTTCTTATAGTGACGCTTGACCACACCAGACAAGTGCCTCCGGAGCGCCCTGCACGGCCTTCACATTCCGTCCTAACTCCAGAAAAAACAAAATCACATCCACTCGTCTCCAGATAAGGCAACTAAAACAACAGGGATAAATGGAAATTTTACTGCTTGTTGGGCTTTTTCTTTTAATAAGATAACATGATAAATAAAACCTGCTTCTGTACAGCTATTTAATATTTCAGAAATACGTACATGTTACATGCCAAGAAAGGACCCTGGTTTTCTTGTAAGAAACAAGGTGAGATCATAATCGAAGGGGGAAAAAAACCCACAAACAAAAAGGGGAAAAAAAACAACAACAACAAACAAACGAGAGAGTGATAAAATCACAAATGCACAACTAACTACAGTTCTGTACCTACACCGTTAGCCACGTTTAACATGACTCCAGAGGAGCAGGAACCGACCTTACACGCAAGTCCCTTGTCCCCGCAAAACTGAAGGAAAACACAAAGTCAGCCTTTTTTAAACCAGTGGCCACATAGTAAAAACTGTACATCGTTGTCCATTCATTTAAAAAGCAAAGTCACTAGGATGGTATAAAAGTGATAACCGGTGCCTTTGTAACTTTCTGACGGAAACGTTTTCTCTACAATTAAGAATTATCTCCACTCTCTCTGCATAACCAGGAACAAGATGCAGGAGACAGTGAGGAGGTAAGGCTGCGCCCCAGCGCGGGCACCAGCGCCGCCGGCTTTATCCCCGGCGCTCTTCCCAGAGTGGTCGGTGGCGTTGTACTCCAGCTCCGAAGGGCACTGCTGATACTCACAGCCACTGCCGCTTCCCTCTCCGCTGCTCTCATCACCTAGCGGTTAAAAAAAAACGGAGCAGAGGTGTCATTCTATTCGTTCTCGTCACAAGGTACCCAAGGACAAAGGTGTACATTTCAAATGGCGACAAATGCTTACTGATATCAAAGAAGTCCACGTCATTCCCGTTGTACGCGTTCTTCATTTTGCTGGTCATGACCCGAAGAGCCATGATCTGGCGAAGGATCAGCATGTCCGCTTTGCTGGTGTCGACCTGGACCTCTGGGTTATTGCCCTGGTTGGCTAACCCATTCCCCGTCACTGCGAACAGGTATCTGAAATGAGAAAGGACGCCGTGAAGATGACCAGTGCAACAAAAAGTCGCCAAAGATCATCAGAGGATCCTCCTTGGATTCTAGTGATTTCTGCCGGGTGTGATTCCCCGGAAGTTCTTCCACTTCGAAAGAGCCTGGATTTCTCCTTTTTCCAGGTAGGCATCTTGTTTCTCCAATTTGATGGGGACCTTCTGGAAAGCAACATTGGTTGGTGGCTCAGAGTCAAGTGTCGGTACAGCAGCTACTTAGCAAAGTCACTACGTGTGTAGGGGAGCGACACAAGACGTCACCAGAGAAGAGAATGAGACCTGTTGAGAACTGGTGCTTCAGGAAGCGAAGCTGGTGGGCAAAGACCCCCAGGTACCGTGTACCATAAAGACGACATTACTGGAGCGGCCTGAGCTCTGGTTGTAGCCCTCGCGCTGGGTTGGGATGGCCATCACACGCTTTGGGCCCAGTACGCTTTGTAAGTGGCTGGGTGCCTTCCCAACGCCTACGGGGCAAAGCCCCCTCCTCAGAACGTCCAGAAGCCTCCCGCATCACTGCTACCTACTGTGAGCTGTTCCGCGATGCCCCCCTCAACTGGCAGCTGGCACAGCCCTCTCTGGGGCGCTCCCAGGAGGCTTACCTGCTCTTGCCTTTCCCGTTCCAGCAGCCGTCCTCGTTGCCATTCCCAGCGGCCATCCTCTCGTCATTGCAGACGGTGCTGGGCAGAGAGGACCAGAACTTTTTGGCTTCTTTCAGCTTCTCCTTGACATCGGTAACCTAACGAGGAGGCGGGGGGAGAGGGGGGAGGAAAGGCAAGCCCTCTGTAAAAACACACGGCCACCTACAGGCATGTCTTCTGATCACTGCTAAAGTAGCTGCAGAGTGCTAGGCCATTCGTTTTCAACTTGAGTCACAAGACAGGAACGCAGATCACATGTATACAGAAAAGAACAAAATCACTCAAATGAACTAAGAGTCGAAACGCAAGCTCGGAACGCGTTGCCCAGATCCGCTGTCCACTCTACCTCTTTATTACAACTACCATCTGCCGCCCGCCCGCCTCCATGCCCTGTAGATATGATGAGAAGACACCTTCTCTTCCCACGAGGCTTTTATACTCGCCTTGGGCATCTAGGGCAACCCCTCTGTGAAACCGAGCGCCTGTCCTCACGCTCGCCCTCCTAGTGTATGCGCAGCCTGGTGCCACGCGTAGTAAAGCAGGGTGCTCGGAGTTTCCGACCATCGCAGCACTTACTATACATCCCCTTTGTCACTTAAGCCTGGGACGTCGGCTTCTCCCTCTTTGTTGGGGCTGACAACGAGGACGAGGCTCACTGCCTCCCTATAATTGGCACCGTGATGGGCACACAGTACACGCATCGCATTTCCTAACTGCGTACGAGCTATATGAAAGTGAGAGGCAGAAAATGAGAGGCAGATTGACTGACATCCAGATGCAATTTGCATGAGAAGTTTCACCTGAAAGACCCGTACTTGAAAGCCTTCCAACTAAAAATGCACTTGGAGCAAATGTTTTCAGTTCTCTGTCATTAAACACGGCCATTCCTGCCAAAGTGCTCACCAGTCGGTCCAAACTAGTGCCGGCTGCTGTGGTGGGGCGTTCCTCAGGGTGATACGGTCGGAAGCGAGCGCTGAAGGCACCTTCAGAGATGGAACGGGAAATCCGGCCGGCCGGGAGGGGCTTGGGAGGTCCACATCCCTGGAAAACCTGCAAGCACAGGTCACATTAGGGAAGTCGTGTCCCAAGCTGGAGGGGGGGAGGGGCTTTCCAAGTGTCTTGCTTTCATTACCTTCTGGGATACTTGCACGCTGTTCTCTTGCATATTCATAATAGCATCAGAGATCTTCACGTCGATGGGGTCCATGACGGATTCGATGTTGAAAGGACCCTCAAGCCTCTCTGCCACCATCAGCATCGCATCTAACATGACGTTTGGGGAAGAACAATACAGCATAAACGGTAACTCAGTAGTCTGGCCTTGGGTAATCAGTGCGGTTATTTTACTGTCTTTTGTTTCGGGGAGGAGGGGAGGCTGCATCATAATTAATTCATGTTTTTATATCTTTTTACAAAACATTTATTTTTTTGAGAGAGACCACGAGCAGGGGAGGGGCAGAGAGAGGAGGGTAAAGAGGATCTGAAGTGGGCTCCGTGTTGACAGGCTGACAGCAGCGAGCCCAACGTGGGGCTCGAGCCCACAAATTGCAAGATCACGACCTGAGCCCAAGTCGATCGCTCAACAGACTGAGCCACCCAGGCGCCCTTTAGATCTTTTTCTATGATACCAAACTGCATTTAGTCACTACGCATTGCTAGCTCTCTGAAGTGTGAAGTGGCCAGGTGAATGCTCTATTCCACAGCAAGGAAACCCAATCGAGAATGTTCTATTATACTGATTATTCATTCCTTTGTGTGTCAGTGGCTGTCACCGTTAAGGCTCTGGGCTAGCTTCTGCTGACAGACCTAAGGCTGGAGGCAGAATGACATGCCACTTCTCCCGGTGACTTCTTAGGATGTTTTCATTTCAGGTTCCGTATACAAGACTCAAAAACGCCAATCTGTTAAAATCCTGGCATATCACTTCCCTGCTTTCATTTTTTAAATGAAACCCTTTCAGATCCCTGAGCACACAGCTGCAAAGTACAAATGACAGTGTTCCTAGGAATTCTAATGACTTTTCAAATAATGACATTTTGAAAAATGCCATTTTGTATGAAGATAAACTTCCCATTTCAAACACAAGGGCCTCGAGTTAAGGCAAAGAAGGTACCCCTTTTGGTTCAGGTGCAAAGACAACACAAGACACGGTACGCAGGAAGCCATGTGCTCACACAGTGAGTCTCCACGGATCACTCTGCAAGTCGCTTGGACATTCTGGAGGAGTCTAGAACGTTTCGGTACACACTGAATCTCTTAAACAAAATGCGCCATCCTTGTCTGTCTGTCGTATGCATTTGTTGCTATTTTCCAGTGTCCTCTAATTTTCGCCAATAAATACCAGGCAAAATCGGATGTCTGGATGAGGACAAGGAACTCATGAGAAGCACTGAACTTTTCAACTTCTCTCCCCTTCGCACTCTAGTGCTTAGAGCACGCGGGGAGAAGAGGAGTTAGGTAGGCCCATGTTATCCACAGCCTTCAGATAGGCCAAGGACAGCTCCTAGAAAGGAGGGCTAGTTTCCAGAAGATTATGTACCCTCTTCAAAGAAGACCGTAGGCCACCACACGGGTCTTCTACCTAAGCTTTCCAGTGCAAAGGAGTCTTAGCATCGGCGTATCAATACAACCAAATTTGGTCATCAATCTTTCACCTTCACCGTAAAACAAATACAATACAACAATGTGAGATACAGGATCATTTCTCTAAACTGCGATTCCGATGTCACAAGCCACAAACAGATTTCCGTGAAATGCACTTTTTTTTTTAAAGTAATAACAAATGAAGTTTTGGATTGCATTGTGCCAATAAAGTGACACTCCAACCTCTAAGTAAAGGCTGCCAGCATGAATATACCATTGTCCTGGGGGGGTGGGGGGGGGAATGCTTTTGATGTGCTAGCAAAAGGAGACTTTTGTAAATAAGTGGAGCACAACTTAAATGTGTTCATCATTGTCAAAGCAGCAGGGCTGCCACGCACAGAAAGCACATTCTTCATCCAAGAAGTTGCTTGCTCCAAATAAAAATATTATGAATAGACAGATAATAAACATCCAAAATGCAGAGGTTTCAACAAGAAAAAAGAGCGCGTTTTTGAAACTACTTATTCCCCTAGTGGCAAAGAAAGGCCAGATCACTAATGTGTTTGGGAAAGACTGAAAGGAAACATAAACCCAATTCTTCTAGCTGTTTGGCGTCTTTGTAAACTCTGGGAATGGAGGGAAGCCGGCCCTTTGTTGGGGCCGGTGCCATGGGCTGTGCGGTGCACAGCTGAAGAATGCGCAGAGCTGCCTCCCACCCCTGGGGGGAGTCACGGTCAGCGATCAGTGAGGCTCTTCCGTGCGAGCAGCCGGCCCTCATGAGAAGCCCCAAGAGAACCCAAGACGGTTGGTTTGGTGTTTTTCCTTCTGGTTGGTCCAGGCTGCCGGTCTCTTATTTGCAGGATATCTGACGGTTCCTGCCTTCTGCCAGCAAAACCCTAATGCCCCAATACGAAATCCGTGCTGGCAGCAACGTGTGACATTAATAACAATGTGTGACGTTGGCTAGCAGTCAGATGAACATTAACGCGGCCACAGCAGGTGATGGAAAACAAGGTGCAACCAAGCATCATCACGGTTCTCCAGAAACTGACTTTGCTGGGGGCGGGGGGGGGGGGGGGGGGGGGGGGGGGCGCGGCGGAGTATTTGGCTCCACGCTTGAACCGACTTCTTACAAAACCAAGTCCAGGGGGTTTCAAACTGTTTGGGGCCATCTGGATAAAGGCTGACAACACTATAGATGCAACTTAAGAGAAGGAAAAGTAGGACATGGCGGCCAGAAAGCAGATGTGGAAAACCTATTCTTAGTGTCTCCAAGGATCTACTACAACTGCCGATTTCAGTGCTCGGGTTATTGGCACTGGGTCGGCCCCACCCTGTCAACAAAGTGTCCCCTTCGCACTAGGCAAAGTGAGTCCTTTCACACTGTGCCGCCAATAATCAGAAACCCACACCTTCAGCCTCAGGACTGACTCGAAGAACAAAAGGCAGTTTCCCGACTTAACCCCCAAGATCTGATTTAAAGAAGGCGGGGGATGGGGGGAGCCCTTAAACATTCATTAACTGCAGCCATTTAAAGGGGAAAGAAAAATTCTTTGCAAAGAAAGAGAAAAAAAAAAAAGAACTTATAGCCGAGGCATATAAATTGGGAGTGAATTCCACAACCACAGAGCAAATTAAACCCTGGTGAAAATTCATTAAAAAAAAAAAAAAAAAAAAAAGCACTGGAGATGAACAATGTCTATTCCTCCTGGCCTTTTAGATCAGCTTATTAGACACAAAGAATAAAGTACCCATTAAAAATTAAGTTTAGATACAATTATGTACCTCACCCCTCCAAAAAGGATCATTCCAAATAATTGAGGACAATTGATTCAGAAATCCTATCGATTTCCACTTGGGTTTAATTTTGTTTCTTGAAAGAGAACAGATGTAAATTGTAAGACTCTCCACGACCACAGCAACTCAGCTGTCCTTGACTTTGAGTACCTGGTTGAAAAAGGTAATTAAGCCATGCCAGAGGACGGTTCTGATTTGACGTGGACCTGCAAACTCACGGAAAAATGTTTTTTAAAAGAAGGGAGAGTGTGTTACTTTCTGCCAGATGTGTTAGAACCAAGGAATAGTGCAAGGGACATGCGACCCTCTGCACCTGACTCCTAAGAGATCCATACACAAGCCGGGAAAACGGGGGGACTGTCACTGGGTGGTGTTTGTACTGTATGGCGAATTCTACTCCTTTGCCCCGAGAACTACTACGTTAGACGTTATAAAGTAAAAAGGCTAACCAACATTTATAAAGATGAAGTTAGCAAAAGTGAACTGCAAATGTGGCATTTGGGTGTGGGAGTGAGGGTGGGATTAAAAAAGAGAGCTAGCGAGCAAAAACATCCCCTTTAGATCTGGAAATGCCACAAGCTTTCATTTCCATGGGAAAATGTTTTAAAGCAACGATCTCTCCCATGGCTCCGTTCTGGGCACGCTGGTGCCATTTGTAGGCTTGTGCCTTTGCTGGCCTCACGCATCCCCTTTCATGGGATTTGGCTTCTCTGCGTGTAGACTTTCTCAGGTCTGCTAGCTTTGAGCTATTTAGGCTACAATTGTGCTGAAATGCTTAATATTCACGTCTTTTTCTTTTTTTTAAACCCCCGTGTCGGTGTGTTCAAGAATCTGCTGGAGCCAATTTATTGATGCATTTTCAAACAGACTTAATATGGTAATTAGCTCGCATGCAGACTAGAAAGCATTTTCTCCAATTCCAACCTCCCCACAAAGTGCCAGCAAATTGCACACATGTTCCCATGATGTGAACAAATAAGTGAAAAATAGGTGCTTACAAAGGCACTTAAATTCTGCAATTACACAAATGTGACGGGGGGCTGGGGAAAGAAGCGAAGTTTGCTTTTGTGAGCTGTTAGTATGTGTATTCAGGGCCACCAGCACGGAGTAGCAGAACAGCCAACCCGGTCACTGATGGTTCAGGACTAAGCTATGTGTTAAGAGCACATCAAGGGAGTCAATGACTGGTTATTTAAATTAGCCTTAACTTGTCCTTTCCCAGAGAGGTCGATTAACCTTCTCAAAAACTGAGTCCTTCACTTACACTGCTGTCTGGATTCTGGGTTTCAGGTGTACGTGAGAGTGTTTACCTCTGAAATGACTGGAGCAACAGCCCCTCTGTTCTCACCAGAGCGGTCTCCTACTATTAAATCCTCTACAGAAATAGAACTCCTAAATTCTCACAACTGGATTTCACTTCAAACATCCAACGAACATCCGGCCAGTACGCAGATTTGGTCACAGTTTGACAGATGTAACAATTTAAAGGCTCAGTCAGTGGGGCGCCTGGGTGGCTCAGTGGATTGAGCAGCTGACTCTTGATTTCAGCTCAGGTCATGAGCTCAAGGTTCGTGAGATCAAGCCTCGAGTCAGGCTCCATGCCCATAGCACGGAGCCTGCTTGGGATTCTCCCTCTCTCTCTTTCCCACTCAATTCTCTGTCTCTGTCTCTCTCTCAAAATAAATGAATAAACTTAAAACAAATAAAGCTCACTCAGTGATAGCTGTACCCCAGCATCTACACGGGCACAAGTCTGTGGTGTTTAACTAAGACTGACCTTTGGGGGGAAAATGTCAAAAAGTCACATTCTCATTATTAAAACTTGGTATTCACTGTATCTAAAGTAAATGAACTTGTAGAACGGTATGAACTCTGAGTACAGTTAGCACCCTGGCAGATAATACATACTGAACAGAACTTTCAAGGATGATCATTACAACATGCCCCGTGTCCGGCACTGAGCTACCTCCAACGACACCAACACGTCACTCACTTACTCACCTATGAAATTGTTCCACTCAAAATCAAGATCTCCTTGGTGGGCCAAACAGCCTCTCATAATGTTTGAGCAGTAGTTGTAACACGGCTTCACAGTCACGAGACCCTGGCAGTGAGAGCAGTAGATCATCTTCAACAGGGCGTGGGTACACTGCGCGGTGGGGTTCACCTGGTTTGGGAGAAGACACAGAGAATGGTGGAGCAATTCAAAGAGAACACAGAAATTCCAAGCGCATCAAGTGGACCCTGAAGGTCTCGCCACAAATTCAACTTCAGAATGAGTTGTGAGGGACCCTGCTGGGTGGGCCTGGCCAGCTTCTTCTGGAGGGAGATTAGATAAAAGGAAGGAGATACGTTGGGAAGAAGGGTGAAGGGAGGGATGACTCGGCTTTACCTGAACTCATCAAGATGCATGGATTTCCCATCCTGTAGACTCCCATTCTCCCTCCGTCCCACTCCCTCTCTCTCTTGCACACAGTCACTCGCTCTCATTTTACATGGCTCAATTGTTTCAATGTCTTCTCACAAGTAAATCTCTGGGATCAGCCACAAGACACCGTCAAGGAGACCCTCTTCTGCCCACCATGCCCGGCATGCTGTGGGCTCTGCCTCGCCAGACTGGGACACAAGCTTATCTTCTTCTGAAACACACAGACTGACTACAAGACTGTCGTCTGAAACTTAATTCCCCCAATCAAGGTCTGTACCTAGTGTGTACTCCACATTCTGTGCCAGTAGCTGTGCAGAAGGCAAAAATCGACGAACACTCAACAGACAAGAATCTGAGTAAATTTAAACTTGGGCTGAGGTGAAGGCCTTCCAAGGCCCGGGAGCAGTAGAGCACACAGCGCTCAGGGAACACCTAACGGAAGAGAGGCGGCTTCGGTTACATCGTGAAGAAAGGGTTAGATTTAATTGGCCAAATGAAAGGAGACCATCCGAGCCAGGGAGAGCGAAATGAACACGGGCTGTAAAGAGAGCATACTGAGCATGTGGGGCTGAGGAACTGTGGGGAATAAGGCCACATGCCTAGGAAAGAGGGTGTGTGTGGCCAGGGCTTGAAGGCACATGAAAACCAGGCAGAAATGGAGATGCCATATGGCATGACACAGGAGGCTACTCAAGTTGATGACTAAAGGAAGTAGCCAGGAATGAAAGCTGTGCCCGAGTCAGATTAGGCTGGCTGTCCACATAGTGTCATCTTTATATTTATTTTTTAAAATTTATTTTCTTTAAAATTTTTTTTAGTGTTTATTTTTGATGGGGGGGGGGCTGGAGGGGGCAGAGAGAGAGAGGGAGACACAGAGCTCAAAGAGCCAGACGCAGGGCTTGAACTCACGAACTGCGAGAACATGACCTGAGCCACGAAAGTCGGACACGTAACTGACAGCCACCCGGGTGCCCCTATGTTTTTAAAAACTGTTTCTTCATTTTTGAGAGAGAGAGCGAGCGAATGAGACAGCGTGCATGCAGGGGAGGGGCAGAGAGAGGGAGACAGAGGATCCGTAGCAGGCTCTGCGCTGTCAACAGAGAGTCAGATGTGGGGCTCGAACCCACAAACCATGAGATCATGACCTGAGCCGAAGTCAGACGCTCAACCGACTGAGCCCCCCAGGTGCCCCTCCTCTTTCTACTTTTATACAGTGATGCTGTCTGAAGCCCCCAGAGCTGGTCCCACAGGCCATGCACTTTTGTCAATGCTTAGAATGCATCGTGGCTGGGTGTCACTCGCTGGCAGCTAACCAAAGGTTCTCATCTTTCCATTTGCTCTGCCCCAGCCTTGGCTTCTCAGGGTCACTATTAGAGGATTAGTGTGCCCCTCTCCATCAGCACCAAGTGGGTCTGCACACGCGAACTTCACACCAGCGCAGGGAGCAGATGCTGGGATGCAGGGCAGTCTGGCACTTCACCTGCTCTGCAGCGTGACTTTGGATGCCGCTTATCAACGGTACCCGTAGGAATAGGAGCGGGGGGTTTGGAACTATCAGGAAACCTTAACACCTTTGGGCTCCTATCTGATGTGTGTACACATGTACACACACATGTCCTCTCTCTCTCTCTCTCTCTCTCTCTCTCACCCCCCCCCTCCCTCTCACCTTCACCAGACCTCTAGCCTAAAAGGGGCAGGGTGGGAACATCCAAAAAAACAAAGAGGTGAAAGTCAACTTTCCCTGTAAAGAATCAGGACTTTTCCCAAGTCTTTTTTTTTTTTTTTTTTTAATTTTTTAAATTTATTTCTAGGAGAGAGAGAGAGAGAGAGACAGCGTGAGCAGGGGAGGGTCAGAGAGAGAGGGAGATACAGACTCTGAAACAGGCTCCAGGCTCTGAGCTGGCAGTCAGCACAGAGCCCGACGCGGGGCTCGAACCCACGAACCGCGAGATCATGACCCAAGCAAAAGTCGGACGCTTAACCGACTAAGCCACCCAGGCGCCCCTCCCAAGTCTTAACCAGGCCCACATTAGCCCTTTTAACTATGTTTTAACGTCCAGCGAAATCTTGGCTACCCAACAGCCTGAAGGAATGGCCAGTCTGGATAACTAAAAGTTCATTCCTTTGAAAGTCACAGATGGTTAAGACTTAAATGCCTGTCCTCTCCACCCCCTCATTTTACAGATGATCAAACAGGCCTGGAGAGAGGAGGTCACTGAACAATCCTAGCATCACAGAAGTCAGAGCTGGAAGTGGCCTTAGAGATCATATAGTTGGGGGCTCACATTTAAGAGATAAGAAAACCAAAGCTACGCACATCAACTGACTTGCTGACAGTCACCCTGATTCTAGAACTGCACTTGATCAAACACTTCCCAGATCTACACACCAGATATGAAACTCTCAGCTGGGGCACTGTTTTCCTCATTATGGTTAGTGAGCTTCCACAGTGATGCTACCGCTAAATGGCTGTATTTGAGAGAGGTAAAGAATCAGAATGTAAATACCTATGAGAAATCACAGAAGAACCTAAGGCGTTTGTTGAATATTATGCTTAAAAGGAAACAACACCAGGGCGCCTGGGTGGCTCCATCATGACCTCGCAGTTCGTGAGATTGAGCCCTGAGTTAGGCTGTGCACTGAGCAAGGAGCCTGCTTAAGATTCTCTCTCTCCTTCTGCCCCTCCCCTGCTTGTGCTAGCACGCGCTCTCTCTCTCTCTCAAAAAAAAAAAAAAAAAAGAAACAATCAATGTCTCAGTACAGAAACATGTAGAAAGCTGAAGTGTCAACAAATAGTTACTGAGCACTTATCTCAGCGTCAGGGATTATTCTGGAATGTATTTGTGATAAGGTAGCAAGGCAAGTAGGAATCTCTGTTGGAATACGGAACTTGCTAGAAGGCGTAGAAACATTCCGAAATGGTATGGGCCTTTAGGAAATAAGCAAAAATGAAAAGCTCAACAGCTGTACTCAAGAAACATTTTTTTCCAGAGAGACCTTTTTCCGATTTTTTTTTTTTTTAAACTCCAGGACATGGTCCACTGTATTCTTAGTTGCACTGTGAGCCAGGTGCGGGATGTGGTAGACCTTGTAGTCCAGCTCCCTAACATAGGGACGTGTTGGCTCGAGTTTGAAAAACAGAGACTGAAGGAAATGACACAGTAGAGTTTTATTAAAGGAAGATTATGACGCTGGGTTTGGCTGACTTTTTCCATTTCAGTCTCTGGCTGAGCACCGGCTCACACTCTGCACAGGGCTGGCTGGCTCACCACTGAAAATGACCGCAAGGAACTGAGCTCTAACATGCTCTGGAAACACTAAATACCAGAACTGAGAAGAAAGGGGGCAACGTTCTAAGAAAACTGAGGCGGGGAAGCACACACACAACAGCCACGTTGGAGAAAATCAAACGGAGTCTTTTGTCTCACGGCCACTAGCCAGACCCTGATACACATGTACTTCACATGAAGGGAACTCAGAACCTAGGAAACCAAACCCTTGTGTGGGAATGAGGCCCTGGTGTAGAGGAGGGTTTTAACACAGTCAGGAAATGGAAAAGAAATAGGGGTCCCTTGCAATGCTCACCGCCCCCCCCCCGAGGTAATAGCAATAATGTGACCACTCCCCAGGCCTTGGGTCCCCACTCTCATGGAGCCGACCAAGCTCAGGAAGGTGAACCCAGAGTGCCAAGGACCAGCTCTCCCTTTGCACTCTGGAGTACCCGGTGGAGAAGCAAAATGGATACCTACCTTTTAGAATCCTCAAGGGCTTCATTCTGGGGCTTTATATATTTTCAATAGAAATTCAAGTTCATTCACATTCTACTCCCTTGTAACCCTCAAAATCAATGACATCTTGAGAACCCAAATAACTCACTGAAGTACATTTATGTTGGGACCCGAGTCCAAGTGTTAGATCAAGGCACACGCAGAGTGATAAAAGGGGTAAACTATACTCCAAGGGCTTCCTTTGATCCTCACTTATATGTTGATGGCCTCTGGCATGGCACGCCCCTTAAAATGTTCAACACCAAGGGGCACCTGGGTGACTTCAGCTCAGGTCATGATTTCACGTTTGTGGGTTTAAGCCCCGTGTCAGGCTCTGTGCTGACAGCTCAGAGCCTGGAGCCTGCTTTGGATTCTGTGTCTCCTCTCTCTCTCTGTTTCTCAAAAATGAATAAATGTTAAAAAAATTTTTTTAAATGTTCGATACCGTTGTTTCCTTTGGGTCATAGCTCTTGACTAATGTTTAACGCTTTCCTTTGGTTTAGAAGGGTCTGTTGAACTCTGATGCCAGTGATTTCCAGAATCCTTGGGGCTGGGTTAGGAGTGGAAGTAGGGGTTAGGATTGCTTTGATAAAAGGCATGTAGAGGAGTTATTTCTCAAATTGATATTTAGAAACAGAGAGGGGAAAATTATACATTCACCCTTTCCCCGTTCTGAGTACTTTACATGTCTATTAACTCATTTAAGCCTCAAAATAATTGCATGAGAGGAGTATTATCATTTCATTTCACAGAGGAGAAAGCAGAGGTCCAAAGAAATGAAGGGATTCACACAAGATCTTCCAGTAAATGGCCAAGATTTGCATACATTTTGGTCCTAGAGTAGGTACTCTCACCTTTCTTGATGTATATGGGAATGGCTTCTTTTGAGTAACAGAACAGTGAAGGAAGGCAGGGAAGCACATGGGAGCTAGTCCTGCACAGCTCCCCAGACCTAGCACAGGGGATCCACAC